ATCGAAATATGTCCGTATTTGCAGCATGAATTCGAAAAATAAGTTTATTTTGAATTTTAATAAAATAAACGTTCACCAAAAAACTTAGTGAGAAAAATCGAAAAAACGAACTACAAACATATTAACGCCACACATTCTGTAGAATTTATAGAATATTGTAAATATATATATATATATATATATATATATATATATATATATATATATGTGTGTGTGTGTGTATATATATATATATATTTAGGAACGAGGTTTTCATTAATACATATTTTGTTAAATTTATTTGCCCATTTTGCATTTATCAACTTTTTTATTATGGACTCAACACAGCGTAGTTTTTGACATTCATATTTATTGTGAAATTGTGACATATTAGAAGCTGACAACGTTGTTGATTATATATATATATAATCAATTTAAAGTTTGTCTTCTCAATTTTCTTTATTAGAATAATATATAAATCATATATATATATATATATATATATATATATATATATATATATATATATATATATATATATCAATATCAATGGGAAACTTATATAGCGCCAATTAAATGTTCTCAAAGGCGCTATCGTAATTATATAAACCTTGAAGTCTACAATACTATTAAAAAGAGAAAAAAAATTGAAAAAGAAAATCACAACAAATTAACTAAAATTATCAGTTTAAGTATTAAGTTTAACAGTGAACAAATATGTTTTTAATTCTTTTTTAAATGTTCTAAGAGACAGTCAGGACGATCGCAATGACAGAAATACTCCGTGCACCAATCTGCAAGTGTGAAACCGGTATTGTCAACAAATTCATATCATCTGACCGTAGATGAGACGACGCAGACATTTTTTTTTTTGAAAATTTGTTTACGGAATGTTCTGGTGACATCCCATTCAGTGATTTAAACACGAGTACAGCGATTTTGAAGGTTACTCTTTTGTCTATTGTCAACCAGTGTAGTTCCTCCAGGATGGGCGTCACGTGATCAAACTTCATCCTTCCAGTTACTAATTTTGTAGCCCTGTTCTGAATCGACTGAAGAAGAGCTATTGACCTTCTTGGAAACTGTTGCAGTAGTCAATTCGCGATGTTATAAAAGCATGAATCAGCGTCACCAGTGCCGATCTATCCAATGAATGTCTGGTTCGATAAATGTTTCTTAAATAAATATTACTTGATGTATATATTTTTTAATGTAGTCTTTCATCGATAAATTGCTATCAAGTAAAACTCCCAAATTTGATGCAGTTGCAGATAATGATATCTTTACATCTCCTATCTCAACAAAACGGAAATCTAGTTTTGACAACTGCTGCCACGTATCTACCGGTAGCAACTGCGTTTTACATTCATTGAGCTTGAGCGAGTTTGATGACATCTTTCAAACACTGGACAAATCTATCAACCTCATCACGAAACGAACCTGGAGGACCAGTGACTAGAACCTGAATGTCGTCGGCAAACGCATGACAAGTGAATCCATGAGAGGAAATTATTTTGATTATATCTGCTGTGTACAAAATAAAGAGAATTGGCCCCAGAACTGAGCCTTGTGGCACACTTGTTGTTACCAAGGCAACATCAGACACTGAATTGTTAAACGAAACCTGCTGTGTTCGGTTTGTCAAATACGACCTGAACCATTTATGAGCTGTGTCTGTAATACCATAATCGTTACGTAGTCTTGCCAGCAAAACATCATAGTTTACACAATCAAATGCTGCTGACATGTCTACAAACGATAACAACGATAAGTTCTTGTCGTCCATTGCCAATAACAAACCAGACAAAACATGTAACAATGCTGTTTCAGTAGAATGGAACTGCCTATAACCGGATTGATTACAAGGCAGTACGTTATTTTCAGATATAAACTTCAAGAAACTTTTAGCCACTACACGTTCCATAATTTTTGAAATGAATGAAAGATTCGATATCGGTCTGTAATTATTAACATCATTTACATCACAACCTGTTTTCTTCAAGACGGGGAGAACCACAGCATGCCTGAAAGAGGAGGGAAATTCACCTAATTGAAGGCAGCAATTAACAAAGCTGGTCAGAAATTTGATGAAAAATTTCAAATACTTTTTTAAAATGTGAGTTGGAATGACACCCTGTGAACTTGTCTTACTTGATTATAATATCTTTCAATTCATCTTCAGTGACCATCGGGAAAGATGAAAACATAACAGCATTATGTAGCCCACCATCATCT